GCGTCACCTCCGTAAGAACTGCCTCCCCATGCAACAGCGGTGCCGTCATTCTTGCGAGCCACGCACGCACTCAAGCCACAGTTCGTCGGGCCCTGCGCGTTGTAATGGATGACGCGCACGTTGGAATGGATGCGCTCGCCATGGGCAAGCGAAACCATCGACAAAATCAGTAGCGTCCGCATTGTCTTTTGGTAGGTCGCCATCCCGGCGAGCTGAAAGTGAGAGGAGAACACGCAAGAGTTCGGTATGCACGGAAGGCAAGTCAAGGTACAACCGTGGCTGCTGCTCGAGCATAGGCCTCCAAGATGTTCTGCTACGTCATCGGCCTCCTCCTCCTCCCCCTCCTCCTCGCCCTCCCCCTCCTCGCCCTCCCCCCCCAGGTGAACGGGCAGAACGGCCGCGGCAGGGGCAGCGGGCCAAACTGGTTCCTCCTGGTTGTAATCTTGCGCGCGTGTGTCGTGGGTGCGGAGCCGGCTGGCACGGCTAACCCATGCCCTCCTCTGGAGGGCGCCCTCTACGGGATTCGGATGGGGGGAGGGCTCGGGTCCTCTAGGCACGGGTCGGCGGATCGGTTTCCTCGGAGCCCTTCCTCTCGGTCCTCTTCGGTATGGCTCGGGGGCGGGGTGCTGCGTAGATCTTTGTATGGACGATCAAATGATTTATGATTGGTCTGTCCTTTTGTTTTGGGCCCTTCGGGTGGCTTCTCGGTGACACGGCAAGGGCCGCTTCACTTTTTGCAAGGATTGGACGTGGGAGGGGTTCGCGGCAGCTTTTGGACACATTCTGTCTACATCTGCATCTCTGGCGGCTGGGCCAAAACACGCCTGGCTCGCGGGCGGGGCCGCCTTTTGCCAGCGCGCAGAAGGGGTAGGGGGGGGACTTTTCAGAAAGAGACTGCTTCTTACAAGGCGCGGGCATTACATTTACAGCCAAGGCCCGCGCCTTCTCACAAGCAGGTGTGTTTCTGAGAAGCCTCCCCCCCTTCCGAACCCCCCTCCTGCGCGTAGCCGAACCTCGCAGGCGCACACGGCGCGCGGGGCAACATGGGCCAACAGAAGATCTTAGCAGGACCGGCGCAAGAAACAACCTGACAGGGGAGGTGCCTACTCATGGGGCCTTCCTCTGGACCAGAAATCCCACCAGCCCTTTAGGGCGTAGGTGCCGTTCGGGGAGGGGTTTACGCCTCCCCCTGCCCACTCCCCTGGACCTGGGCGAGGGGTTCCGCGGGTAATTGGAGCGCCCAACACGGCCTCGGCGAGGAAGCCAAAATCACTGGCTTTACGAAGGTTTTGGCATCATTTTGGCCTCCTCGGGGGGGAAGGCTAATTGGGGACCCCCCGTCCTCTCATCGATCTCACCCAAAAATGCTCAAAGATGCCCCCCAAGGCTCCCAAGGGTGCCCCAAGAGGGCCTCAAGAGGTGGCCAGGAGGTTCCAAGAGGCCCACAAGAGGCTCCTAGGATGCCCCCCCAGAGGCTCCCAGGAGACCCCCAGAGGCCCCCAAAGGCCCCGCACCCAAGACGCTCCAAGAGGCCTCGGCGAGAACGCCAAACTCATTGACGTTGCAAAGACTTTGGCCACATTGTGGCCTCCTGGGAGTGGGCACAAATAAGGATGACTCCCCCGGGAGCCCGGTCCGGTCGATTTTTTTGGGGGGGTCCGGCCAAATTCCCCGATTCCCTTGATTCCCCCGATTCCCCCGATTCCCCCGGGGGGGTCATCCGCTCCCGAAAATACTGGAAGGACTCCTCAGGTGGCCTCGAAATGGCCCCAGGACGCCAAACGAACGCTCCAATACGCCCAAGGTGGCCCAAAGACGGGCTACGAGGCCTCCTAGACGGCATAAGAAGTCCCCACGAGGCCCCAAGAAGCCTCCAAGATGCGTCCCAAGAGGGTCCCTAGACGCAAAAGTTCGTCCGTTAGACGTACATGTTTCACAAGTTCGCCTTCTGGGTTTTCCGATGCTCCCAGACGGCCCACGAGGCCCCCAAGACCGCCCCAAAAGAAGTCTCCAAGAGTGTTCCAAAATAGCCCAAGAGGGCCCCAAGACGGGCCAACAGGCGTCCAACACGGCCCAAGAGGGCCCCGAAAACGGCCCCAAGAGCGTTCCAGGAGCGCTCCGAGTGGCCTCAAGAGAGCTCAATATGGTCCCAGACGGTCCAAGAGCGATCAAAGACACAGAAGACGGCCTCCAGACGGCCCAAGATGCCCCCAAGAGGCCCCAAGAGGCATCCAAGATGCGCCCCAAGAGGGCCTGTAGACGCAAAAAGTTGGCCCGTTCCCTTCGCAAAACGTATATGTTTCACACATTCCCCTTTTGGGCTATCCGACGCTCCCGGACGGCCCAAGAGGCCCACAAGACCGCACAAAGACGGTCCAAGAAGCCTCCAAGAGGGCCCCAAGACAGCCCAAGAGGGCGCCAAGACGGCTCAAGAGGCGCCGAAGACGGCCCAAGAGAGCCCCGAAGACGGCCCCAAGAGCGCTCCAGGAGCGCTCCAAGTGGCTTCCCAGAGAGCTCAACATGGTCCCACACGGTCCAAGAGCGATCGAAGACACCCGAGATGGCCTCCAGCTGGCCCAAGACGCCCCCAAGGGGCCTCCAAGATGCGTCCCATGAGGGTCCCTAGACGCAAAAAATTCCCCTTTCCTTCGTAAAACGTATAGCGTTCACAAATTCGCCTCGTGGGTTTTCCGACGCTCCAAGGCGGCCCAAGAGGCCCCGAAGACCGCCCCAAGACGGCCCAAGAGGCCCCCAAGACGGCCCCACGACGGCCCAAGATGGCCCCAAGACGGCCCAAGAGGTCCCCAAAACGGCCCAAGAAGGCTCCAAGACGGCACCAAGAGGGGCCCAAGAGGGCAACCAAAAATTCAAAAGTCTAGCTTTCCGTCCCACGAGCCCCAGGGGGCCCCAAGAGTGCCCCAAGAGGCCGCCAGGGGCCCCCAAGAGGCCGCCAAGACGCCCCAAGGAGCTCCCAAGAGGCCCCAAGGAGGCCTCCAAAAAAAACCCAGACGCTTCCGCATTGCGAGCCGTCAAGCCAACTGCAATGCACTCCGCGCATGCAGCCTTGCTCTTCCTCGCGACATGCTCACAATCTTGCTCGGCGCTTATGTGCTGCTGCTACGCGAACTGTTTCGCGCGCGCTGCGACGTCAACGGCCTCTTCACCCGCCCCGACTCATCTGCCACATCTTTCGCGGTGATGCTTCGCTGATCACAGCTTCCGCACGCTACTCTTGCTCCTTTCGTCATCCGGTGCTCCTCCACTTGGTTGAGGGTCCGAAGGCCGACCTCCCAGAAGGACACCCCGCACCCGGGTGTACAGCACGCAAAGCGCTCGCAAAACACGCCCCAGACCACCGGCATCACGCAAACATCTAGACCCCCCACGTATCTGCCACCACCCGCGCGCGACACCGCACCCTCACACAAGACGCCGCTAGCCAGAAACTCCTGGCCTCGCAACGGTCACAGAAGTGTCGGCGGATGTGGCGTAAGCCTGTAGAATCAGGCTTCGCCGCCGCTGGGGCCTGCAGCTGCGAAACTGTCGCCGGTTTCATGGGCTCCTGGGAGGCCCAGCGGAGTGGAACTGCGAAACTGACGGCACGTTTGGGGGGTCTTGGGAGGTCCAGGTGGGTGATGTCACGCGCACGTCAAAATGAAACCTCGACGTCCCTGGGCGCTGTGAAATGCGAAACTGTCGCCAGTTTCGTTGGCTTCTGGGTGGCCCAACGGCGTGACGTCCTACGCGGATCAGAATGAGACTGCGCCGCCCCTGCGGCCTGCGAGCAGAGATACTGCCGCCGCCTTCGTGGGCTTCTGGGGGGCCCAGCGGCGTGACGATCTCCGCGGATCAGAATGAGACCTCGCCGTCCCTGGGGGCTGGACCAGCGGAGCTGTCGCCACCTTCGTGGGCTCCTTGGGGGGGGCACAGGCATGACGTCCCACGCGAATCAGAATGAGGCCTGGCCGCCGCATATCAGGATGAGACCTCGCCGTCCCTGGGGGGTTGCGAGCAGGGAGACGGCCGCCATTTTGGGTGGCTGCTGGCGGGGCCAGCGGGGTGACGTGATACGCAGATCAGAATGAGGCCCCCCCGGCCCTGGGGGGCTGCGAAAAGCGAAACTGTCGCCACCTTCGTGGGCTGCGGCCGGGTCCAGCGGAGAGACGTGATCCGCAAATCAGAATGAGGCCTCGCCGTCCCTGGGGGCTGCGAACTGCGAGGCTGTTGCCACGTTCGTGGGCTCCTGGGAGGCCCAGCGGAATGATGCCATACGCAGATCAGAATGAAGCCTCGCCGTCCCTGGGGGCTGCGAAATGCCGAGCTGTCGCCATGTTCATGGCCCCCTCGTCATTGCTCCTTGGTCAGATCGTGGTCGCCGTCTTGCCGATGATATGAGTCGCACAAGTGATGCCGTGAATCGGGAACAGTTGTCTGCGGCCCCACGTTCTTTGGCGAAGCGTTCAAGGATACTGCGAATCCTTCAAGGCGTAAGCTGGAGATGAGCGGTCCAAGAGCGCGTCAGGAAGGCTGTTCGTCGCCTCTCCTCTCTGGGAGCCTCGCGATCGCCAGGAGTGCCTCGGGGCGTCCGGGGAGGGGACTCTTGTTTTTTTTTGTTGTGGCGTCCTGGGAGCATCTTTGGAGCCTCTTGGGGGCCTCTTGGGGGCCTCTTGGGGACCTCTTAGGGGCCTCTTGGGGCCCCGTGGCGCCTCGTTTTTTTTTGGGGGGGGGGGCAAACTCAGGACGCGCGATGTCGCGCAAGGTATTCAGAAGGAATGTGCGCACGTAAGCAGAAAGAGAACGGGCTTGACCTGCGAAGCAGGTTCGTGCATGATGTGGACGCCGCACGGCCCCAAGAAGGAGGACGGGAGAAGGATGAGCGCAGAAAGTGAAGCGTGACAAGCAAGCTCGTGGCGCTGGCTACCGCAAGCGAATACACCGACGGACCACGGTCGTGCGCTGCCGACGGTGTCGGATGGACGATGGCGGGGGGTCGTCTCAGATCAAAGAGAGGCGACCGCAACCGAGGCCACTGAAGCATCTGAAGACCGCGTCGCTTGCTTGGCAAGTGCCACGGTGTGGTGGCAATCTGCTCTTGCAGTTGCTGCCTCAGCGTGATCATCTGCTCCGAGCAGTCCACCGACAGCCGCGCCTGCGCGTCCAAGGTGTTTGACGAAGAAGTTCAAGTAGAGATGGCCCTGCTCCGTACGTCCATGAACAACCTTAAGCTCCACCGGACCGAGCTGCAACCACGTAGCCTTCCTCTCGGGCGGCTCCTGGGCATTGAAATGAAGGTCCGAGCTCGCCCACTTGCCCGTGATGCTGAGCGTCTGGAAGTACAGGTCAGCGCAAGAGTCGCCTAGACGGCGAGCGTCTGCCTCGACGATGAGAAGGCTGTCCTTCACGGGAACTCCGCGAGGAACGTGGATGAGCGAGACGTTGCCCGCCTTCATCAGGTCGAACCTTTCGCCGTAGATGTTCTGCAAGTGCGGGTCGCCAGTGGCTGATGCAGAAGATGGTGTCGCCTCCACAACTGCTAGATTCGTGAGATCGGCGCTTGAAGCGTCACCTCCGTGAGAACTGGATCCCCATGCAACAGCGGTGCCGTCATTCTTGCGAGCCACGCACGCATGGCCGCCACACATTGCATCTGCGACGCTCGTGAGATCGACGCTTGAAGCGTCACCTCCGTAAAGACTGTTTCCCCATGCAACAGCGGTGCCGTCATTCTTGCGAGCCACGCACGCACGAGCGCCACACATTGCATCTGCTACGTTCGTGAGATCGACGCTTGAAGCGTCACCTCCGAAAGAACTGTGCCCCCATGCAACAGCGGTGCCGTCATTCTTGCGAGCCACGCACGCAGTGCCACACATTGCATCTGCTACATTCGTGAGATCGACGCTTGAAGCGTCACCTCCGTGAAGACTGAGTCCCCATGCAACAGCGGTGCCGTCATTCTTGCGAGCCACGCACGCCTGAGTGCCACACATTGCATCTGCGACGTTCGTGAGATCGACGCTTGAAGCGTCACCTCCGTAAAGACTGTTTCCCCATGCAACAGCGGTGCCGTCATTCTTGCGAGCCACGCACGCCCAACGACCACACATTGCATCTGCTACGTTCGTGAGATCGACGCTTGAAGCGTCACCTCCGCCAGAACTCACTCCCCATGCAACAGCGGTGCCGTCATTCTTGCGAGCCACGCACGCACCACCACCAACACTAGCACACATTGCATCTGCGACGTTCGTGAGATCGACACTTGAAGCGTCACCTCCCCAAGACCTCTCCCCCCATGCAACAGCGGTGCCGTCATTCTTGCGAGCCACGCACGCCCAGCGACCACACATTGCATCTGCCACGTTCGTGAGATCGACGCTTGAAGCGTCACCTCCGTGAGAACTGAGTCCCCATGCAACAGCGGTGCCGTCATTCTTGCGAGCCACGCACGCCACATCGCCACACATTGCATCTGCGACGTTCGTGAGATCGACACTTGAAGCGTCACCTCCGTAAGAACTGTCTCCCCATGCAACAGCGGTGCCGTCATTCTTGCGAGCCACGCACGCACTCAAGCCACAGTTCGTCGGGCCCTGCACGTTGTAATGGATGGCGCGCACGTTGGAATGGATGCGCTCGCCATGGGCAAGCGAAACCATCGACAAAATCAGTAGCGTCCGCATTGTCTTTTGGTAGGTCGCCATCCCGGCGAGCTGAAAGTGAGAGGAGAACACGCAAGAGTTCGGTATGCACGGAAGGCAAGTCAAGGTACAACCGTGGCTGCTGCTCGAGCATAGGCCTCCAATATGTTCTGTACGTCATCGGCCTCCTCCTCCTCCTCCTCGCCCTCCCCCTCCTCGCCCTCCCCCCCCCCAGGTGAACGGGCAGAACGGCCGCGGCAGGGGCAGCGGGCCAAACTGGTTCCTCCTGGTTGTAATCTTGCGCGCGTGTGTCGTGGGTGCGGAGCCGGCTGGCACGGCTAACCCATGCCCTCCTCTGGAGGGCGCCCTCTACGGGATTCGGATGGGGGGAGGGCTCGGGTCCTCTAGGCACGGGTCGGCGGATCGGTTTCCTCGGAGCCCTTCCTCTCGGTCCTCTTCGGTATGGCTCGGGGGCGGGGTGCTACATAGATCTTTGTATGGACGATCAAATGATTTATGATTGGTCTGTCCTTTTGTTTTGGGCCCTTCGGGTGGCTTCTCGGTGACACGGCAAGAGCCGCTTCACTTTTTGCAAGGATTGGACGTGGGAGGGGTTCGCGGCAGCTTTTGGACACATTCTGTCTACATCTGCATCTCTGGCGGCTGGGCCAAAACACGCCTGGCTCGCGGGCGGGGCCACCTTTTGCCAGCGCGCAGAAGGGGTAGGGGGGGGACTTTTCAGAAAGAGACTGCTTCTTACAAGGCGCGGGCATTACATTTACAGCCAAGGCCCGCGCCTTCTCACAAGCAGGTGTGTTTCTGAGAAGCCTCCCTCCCTTCCGAACCCCCCTCCTGCGCGTAGCCGAACCTCGCAGGCGCACACGGCGCGCGGGGCAACATGGGCCAGTTAACAGAAGATCTTAGCAGGACCGGCGCAAGAAACAACCTGACAGGGGAGGCGCCTACTCATGGGGCCTTCCTCTGGACCAGAAATCCCACCAGCCCTTTAGGGCGTAGGTGCCGTTCGGGGAGGGGTTTACGCCTCCCCCTGCCCACTCCCCTGGACCTGGGCGAGGGGTTCCGCGGGTAATTGGAGCGCCCAACACGGCCTCGGCGAGGAAGCCAAAATCACTGGCTTTACGAAGGTTTTGGCATCATTTTGGCCTCCTCGGGGGGGAAGGCTAATTGGGGACCCCCCGCCCCGCCCTCTGATCGATCTCACCCAAAAATGCTCAAAGATGCCCCCCAAGGCTCCCAAGGGTGCCCCAAGAGGGCCTCAAGAGGTGGCCAGGAGGTTCCAAGAGGCCCCCAAGAGGCTCCTAGGATGCCCCCCCAGAGGCTCCCAGGAGACCCCCAGAGGCCCCCAAAGGCCCCGCACCCAAGACGCTCCAAGAGGCCTCGGCGAGAACGCCAAACTCATTGACGTTACAAAGACTTTGGCCACATTGTGGCCTCCTGGGAGTGGGCACAAATAAGGATGACTCCCCCGGGAGCCCGGTCCGGTGGATTTTTTTGGGGGGGTCCGGCCAAATTCCCCGATTCCCCTGATTCCCCCGATTCCCCCGATTCCCCCGGGGGGGTCATCCGCTCCCGAAAATACTGGAAGGACTCCTCAGGTGGCCTCGAAATGGCCCCAGGACGCCAAACGAGCGCTCCAATACGCCCAAGGTGGCCCAAAGACGGGCTACGAGGCCTCCTAGACGGCATAAGAGGTCCCCACGAGGCCCCAAGAAGCCTCCAAGATGCGTCCCAAGAGGGTCCCTAGACGCAAAAGTTCGTCCGTTAGACGTACATGTTTCACAAGTTCGCCTTCTGGGTTTCCCGATGCTCCCAGACGGCCCACGAGGCCCCCAAGACCGCCCCAAGACGGTCCAAGAAGTCTCCAAGAGTGTTCCAAAATAGCCCAAGAGGGCCCCAAGACGGGCCAACAGGCGTCCAACACGGCCCAAGAGGGCCCCGAAAACGGCCCCAAGAGCGTTCCAGGAGCGCTCCGAGTGGCCTCCAAGAGAGCTCAATATGGCCCCAGACGGTCCAAGAGCGAACCAAGACACAGAAGACGGCCTCCAGACGGCCCAAAATGCCCCCAAGAGGCATCCAAGATGCGCCCCAAGAGGGCCTGTAGACGCAAAAAGTTGGCCCGTTCCCTTCGCAAAACGTATATGTTTCACAAATTCCCCTTTTGGGCTTTCCGACGCTCCCGGACGGCCCAAGAGGCCCACAAGACCGCACAAAGACGGTCCAAGAAGCCTCCAAGAGGGCCCCAAGACAGCCCAAGAGGGCGCCAAGACGGCTCAATAGGCACCGAAGACGGCCCCAAGAGCGCTCCAGGAGCGCTCCAAGTGGCTTCCCAGAGAGCTCAACATGGTCCCACACGGTCCAAGAGCGATCGAAGACACCCGAGATGGCCTCCAGCTGGCCCACGACGCCCCCAAAGGGCCTCCAAGATGCGTCCCATGAGGGTCCCTAGACGCAACAAATCACCTTTTCCTTTGTAAAACGTATAGTGTTCACAAATTCGCCTCGTAGGTTTTCCGACGCTCCAAGGCGGCCCAAGAGGCCCCGAAGACCGCCCCAAGACGGCCCAAGAGGCCCCCAAGACGGCCCCACGACGGCCCAAGATGGCCCCAAGATGGCCTAAGAGGTCCCCAAAACAGCCCAAGAAGGCTCCAAGACGGCACCAAGAGGGGCCCAAGAGGGCAACCAAAAATTCAAAAGTCCGCCGACCCCTTGTGGGTCTCTAGGCGTGTGAGATAGTTCCCCTCCCTCTAGTCCCCCCCTGGGACCCCCAAACCGGCGATTTGACCCCCCCCTGGATGGCCCCCCCCCCGGTCCCGGCACGAGCGACTCACGGAGCTTTTTCGGGCCCAAGAGGGCCCCAAGACGGGCCCAGAAGGCCCCAAGTGGCCTCCAAGACGGGCCACGAGGTCCCCGAGACGCCAATTGGGCGCTCGAAAACGCCCAAGATGGCCTCAAGTCGGGCCCCGAGGCCTCCAAGACGGCCCCGGAGGTCCCACATAAGCCTCCCAAGAGGGCCCCGAGATGCTAAAACTTGTGAGTTTCCATTGTTTTACAGTGTTTGTTGCCTTTTCCGCCTTTTTCGGCTTCCCGACGCTCCAACACGGCCCCCGGGGCCCTCAATACCGCCCCGAAGCGGTTCAAGAGGCCCCCAAGATGGCCCCAGGACGGCCCAAGATGGCCCCATGACAGCCCTAGAGGCGCCGAAGACGCCCCAAGAGGGCCCCAAGACGGGCCCAAGAGGGGGCCAAGAGGGGGGAAAAAACATATCATTTCGAGGCTTCGGCGCCCAAGCGCCCCCAGGAAGCCCCAAGAGGCCCCCCAAGAGGCCCCCCAAGAGGCCCCCAAGAAGCCCCCAAGAGGCCCCAAGCAGGCCCCAAGAGGCCCAAAAGAGGCACCCAAGAAGCCCAAAATAGCTCCCAAAGGGCCTCCAAAGTATGGGCGGTACCATTTGAGGCACACGGACGACGTACCTCGCGTGGTACTTGGTCGGTACCACTTGAGGTATCCGAGAGGCCGACCACGAGATCCCAAATAATATTCACCTGGCCTCAGACTCACAACCCCGGCACGGCAGCGGGATTCGCGGGACGCGCCTCGGGCCATTCGAGAAATATCCCTCTCAGAAACCACGACAATATCCTCACTTGTCCTCGTCCTCCTCTTCCTCCTACCCCTTCTTTTCCTCCTCCTCCTCCTCCTCCTCCTCCTTCTCCTCCCCCGTCGTCTCCGTCTCCTGCTTTGTTCCTCCCCACTGTCCACAGCATTCGCGCGCTGCCCGACGCGCTGCAGCG